AACTTCCCCAATTTTCGCGGAAGCATCAATACGACAGTCATCGTCTCATCGGTCGCTGTTCAGAAAGAAGATTGAAACATCGTCAGAAGTAATACAGAGATTTATTATTGTAATATTTGTTTTCAGACCTTAGTTTGCTTAGTTCGCTTATTCCTTTTATATGTTGGTGTAACAATAAACAAATATCAAACGGCAGATCGGTGTTTTGGTTTTTGCGTCCGTTATAACTAAGCGTTTCTGAGAAATCTTCTAAGAACAGCGTGGGCCCGAGCGTAGCGAGAGCTGGGCATTAACGGTTTATGAGTCTTGGCTGACAGTTTCTGACGATAGAAACAGATCTGGTGGATTGAAACAGTTGGTGAAAGTTTGGATAGTCGCCGTTCATTTTTCCTGGTGCCGGTCAAGTCCTCTTTGAACAAGCAATATCTGGAACCTTTTTGGAATTGGGTCAAGTTCAACAATGCCTGGGTCAAAGAAGGGACAGAGTGTCTTGGATGCAAACGGGAAAGTAAGTCATTGTGACTTGTCTGTTAATTGTAACGATGTGTCTGATGTTAAGCATGACATGGTTGATGTTACTGTTTCGCCGTTCAGGGATGATAGGTACATCAAACTCCCTAAGTTTGAACCACGGTGTTTTGATGGAAACCCGGCCGATTATTTACAGCTTGTTAAGGAGTTTGAGATCATGCTGAGTAGTTTTTCATTAAGTGATGAATTGAAATTGATGTATTTGATGAGGTATTGCACTGGAGATGCTTCAAGAGCTATACAGTGCTGTAAGCTCATGCCCCCTAATGAGGGATACGCTGAGGCTATGAGCATATTACGTCAAAGGTTTGGAAGGCCTTCGATGATTGTAAGGAGCGTATACGAAGCTGTCAAGGGTAATGGCAGTCAACTTCAAGATGACTCTAAAGCACTCACTGAGTTTTTAGACAATCTTATGACTTACAAGAATACCTTGATTTCTATGAATTTCATGAGTGATCTCAACTCCAGCTCAGTCCTAGAGGTAATTGCAAGACGCCTACCTACGCGGCTGCAAAGGAAATGGGTAAAAATAAGCTCTCATATAGAGGAGGAGGGTATCGAGCCAAGGTTCGATGATATTCTTAGACTGGTGAAGGACAGTGTCAACCAGGCGATGGGCAAATTCGCCAGCATTTTGCATTCCAAGGCAGAACCCTATGTAAAAGATATGGCTGTTTATTCACCTGTTTGAAAATGAGAGCTGTGCATATTGAGATGGTTCATTCTCTAACTACTGATTCATTCGTGCTAGCATTACATAGATTTATAAATCGCCGGGGTGTACCGAAGATGATGTTCAGCGACAGAGGGACTAATTTTGTTGGCTGTCACGCCGAGCTTAAAGAATACTTCGAAGGTCCTCAAACGAGAGTTCAGGAAGAGTTACTGAAAAGGAACATCGAGTGGCACTTCAACCCACCACATGCCAGCCATAGAGGTGGGCTATGGGAAAGACTTATAGGAATTATCAAGCGTATTTGAAGCTCCATAATTACAAACCAGAGTTTGAATGACGAAACGCTGGAGACATTTTTTTGTGAAGCTGAACGAATATTAAATGACCGGCCGTTATCACCTGTGAGGGACGACGTCAAGGATTTTGATGTGTTAACCCCAAATAAATTATTGTTATTGAGAGGCAACCCTGGCATAGAGGACGCAAGCGGAGAAGGAATACCTACGATTAAAAGATGGAAACAAGCCAGGCACATGAAAGATATATTTTGGAAAAGATGGTTAAAGGAGTATGTTCTAACATTGCAGACCAGGGACAAGTGGAAAAAGTTGTGCCGAAACTTAAAGGTTGGTGACATAGTATTAGTAGCAGATAAATGTGCCACAAGTAGGTGGCCTTTGGGAGTGGTAGTAAGGCTGATCTGTAGTGGTGATGGATTGGTGAGGACGGTTGAGGTGAGAACTAGTTGTGGCATGTTGGTGCGAGATATCAGAAAACTGTGTCTCCTGGAAGGTGCTGAGAGTAGAGAGTCGGAGGATGAAACAATAGATGATTTTCCAACCTAGAGCGTCAACCTGAGAAGGGTTGTAGGCGTACTGCTGTAAGTCCTACAATTCTTCAAAGGGTAGCGCATCAGTGAGCAGTCTAATGTGCTCGGTGTGTGATTTTGTATATATGTTCATATTGTATATACTGAATTGATATCATCTTTCATCTAGCTGTTGGTAATTCTGTTTGTGTCCGGACATTCCACAACTTACAATCGTCAACCTGTGAAGGTTTGTAGGCGTACTGGTGTAAGTCCTGCGATTCTTCAAAGGAATTCCATCAAGACATGATCCGCGAGTTTTTGTGTACAGTTTGTATATATGTGTGGTGTGTCATATCAATTGGTGTATTTTGGATTCATTGTGTTTACTTGTTGTTTTCGTATCTTGTTGTTATTGCGTAATTTTGTTAAAATTTTCGTCGTGATTACTTCTGAAGTTGTTTCGAGTCTTCTACATCCATGAATGAATTGATTGATGTTAAGGACAGCAGATGGGTCGTATACGCCGGGGAGGCTAGGCTATTGCTGAGAATGAAATGCACACTGAGATAATTGTTAGCTGCGGTCCGACACGCCGGGGAGAAAGAGTGTAAACGACTGAGGCTCGCATGCATCACCGCTACTAGAACTGAGGCAGAATGAGTGACAAGCGATTTCAATGGTAATTGGTAGTGGGTAATTAAGAGGATGTGTGTAGAGTATCGTGAGGTCCTGCCATGGTCACGTTGCATTCTGCAAGAGTCATTCTAGTAAGTGGCGATTGTGTTGCAAGATGTCAAGAGGAGGTCTCTGTCTGGAGGCGCAGGTCGTCATTGATGTGTGAGATTGTGCTGTGGGTATGTTTGTGGTGTGTTGGCTTTTCTGTTTGTTTTCCATTTCAGCTCTGTCCGTGTGACCCAGGTTCTCGTAATGGCATCCAAGTCAACGTGCATTGATCGTGAAAGAAAAAAGGGATGGATCCCTTTTTTGCCGGGGAGTGTCAATGGAGTTGAAGTTTGAACGATCAATTCTTGGTTGTTTGCTCAAAATCAACTTCCCCAATTTTCGCGGAAGCATCAATACGACAGTCATCGTCTCATCGGTCGCTGTTCAGAAAGAAGATTGAAACATCGTCAGAAGTAATACAGAGATTTATTATTGTAATATTTGTTTTCAGACCTTAGTTTGCTTAGTTCGCTTATTCCTTTTATATGTTGGTGTAACAATAAACAAATATCAAACGGCAGATCGGTGTTTTGGTTTTTGCGTCCGTTATAACTAAGCGTTTCCGAAATCTTCGAAGAACAGCGTGGGCCCGAGCGTAGCGAGAGCTGGGCATTAACGGTTTATGAGACTTTGCTGACAGCTGGTATAATGATTGCCTTTAACATGACTGCTAGGTTCTGTTGAAGCGGAGGAAGGGAGCATTGGTCTCATATGAAAGTTAGACATAATGAGTCACCTTCTTGCTACGACAGCCTCGGCGCCAGAGGTTTACCATCAAACCTCCACATAAGTAAGCTTGTAATAGTGCGGAATTAAAAACAAAGAATGAATCGATACAATTAGAAAAAATACCAAAAAAAAGATTAATAAAAATATGAAAGACAAAAAAAAGAAAAAATTAAAAAAAAACAACATCAGACCACAGAAGCTTACAACCACACAAGGCACCAGCGTCATTTCTTATCATATTCCGTCTTACTTCACTAATCATGTACATACCACTTCCAACTTACCTTAATTTTTTCTCTTTTCTTTTGCTTTCTTTCCTTTCGGTAAAATTTCTTTTTTTTACTATTGCTATTTTCAAACCTTCTCATTCAACCATTGCTGTTGTGCCAAGCCATCCTACTGTTGTATATCGAAGCTTGCTGGCTTCCCACCAACCTTCTAAGGGGGGGGGATAACCTGTAGTGCACATTGTACCTTTGAACTTTTGTTTAAACTGACTCACCCACGGGGATCCACGTTTACATTTGAGTTGTGAGTCTTCCGTACGTTCATTGGTTCGCTCTCTTGTTGTGCTCTCTTTTTGCACACTCTCCGAGCCTACCTCCAGCAACGTCTGCAGATAAGTTGTACAGTCACTTTATTTATTAAATCTGTCATTCTGTTACGTTAAATACAACTCATACTAAGAATTCTTTCCATTGTTAGCTTTTAAACTTTGATTGAGTTAATCAGTACTTACACGTTAGGTAGAGTACTAGTAAAGTCATAAGACGGTGAAGTTTTTTTAGTAAGTATGGTGATTTCGAAGACTATCTTCAGTCTAACCTCAACACTTACAATCACGTAGCATACTCGACGTATTGCTTTCACTTAGACAACCACTGACACCAAAGGGTACTGAACAGCTGTTTCATTCTAGTAGGGGACCCATGGGTAGCACGCACCCACACTTTCCAAACCAGGATCTTTTTTACAAGGCAACTTCGTATACCATTCAGTCACTGGGACCCGATCCAATGGCCGGTGAATTCTAACTTCTAGCAGTTCGTGATTTTTAGCGCAACCACCAACCACTGTCATCGCCTGGTTTTCAGTGGTTTTCTAACAGATGAAATCTCTACAAATCAACTTTTGAAAATTATGGAATTCAGTCAGCATCGCTCCACTGACCAGTCGGAATGCACCTACCTCTCCGAAAAGTCTTATTTCTTCGCATCTTTTAATCTTTTGATCCAACTATTTTAAACGTGAAAATTTTAGCGACAAATTAACAAATTCATAAAGTCGGTTTTAGAATCTTAGTTGAAGATGCATTATTTTCAGCAGGTTTCCCTTTGCGCATTATCTATCACATAGTGCTTCCGACAGCATAGTGTGGATGCAGTCACAAGCAGTACTGTTGAAAGGAAAATAACCTTGATAATTGGCACAGGAAGACTGATCTATTAGCTTTTACACTGTACTTTATATACAAGTTTACTGAACATCGAAGGTCACTGGAGAGCGGGGAATTTGATCCGCGACCCGATGTCCTTGAATCCGGCTGATGGTTTTGTTTGGCCGTGGCAATACAATTTCCCGCCGTTTTTCACCCTCCAACCAAATGTCGAAACTCGAAGAAAGCAAATAAATGCATGGTGTCAATTAGTAATTGATTATTTCAAAAGCAGAAACCAATTCTCTGTCAGTGTTGCCGCCATTCGTGATCCCACTTGTCCTCTTTTTAATAATAAGAGTATCCAACGTTCAGCCAGTCCAGATTTAATTGCCCTCATATTGGATGAGTTGTGTAGGCGTGGAAATCTGGAGTGGCTTGATAAGTGAGTTTCACTGTTTTGTGTGAGAGAACCGTAAGGTCCTCTAGAGGACTTATAAATTATAATAATAATTATAATCTTATAAATTATAATTAAATTATATTATGGATACCGTACAACTATTACATATATGTAATAGTTGTACGGTATCCATAATATAATTTAATTATAATTTATAAGATTTAATCTTTGATATGACTCACGCTTTTGGTTGATAATTTATGGGGAAGTTACTAGTTGTGTTAATTTCCTCTACTGTTTCCTTCAGCTCTGCAAACTAACATATAAATTTGCCATTTTTATTCTAGCTGTATCATATTACATATCGCTGATAATTTATTTGGTACTCTTTGCGAGTTTCGCTGCACTAATGTGACTAAAGCTGGCATTGTTTTTTGGATTCTTCAGTTGTTAGTCCCTGACTTAGTTCTTATCCACATATTCGACTGAGTGGAGGAATAGTGTTATAGGCTAGCACTACCCCACATTCTCATTTTTCTTGAATCTAAGTTTATTCTAATCGATGGATCAGAGTAAAGTATACCGTCATATTTTGGGCGCATGATGATTGCGTAACATTGCTTTGCCAATACCTGTAGTTTCTAAGAACAATTTAGCCCGCCATCATGAATGCTTTTATTGTTAGATGTGGCCTTTAGTCAGTCTTAATGGTGAGTGCTAAGAGATTCGACTTCCTAGCTGCCAAATTGCACTTAATAATGTGTGCCGCAGTAAAATCAGGTGCGCTTTTGGGAAATGTGACAATACAGCGACTAGAGTTTCTGAATGGAATATCCTATAGGTGCTGCCTGACTGTTTCAGTATTTGCATATGATTAAAAGAATAAGCGGCTGCTCAGTTTGTTAACGAAGATATCAGACCAAATTGACAAAACATTTTAAGTTTCTTAGTGATAATTCTCAAAACTCATCCTCTTGCCTGCTGTTTAGAATACTGATGACATCTCAGCGTGTTAGTTAAAATCAGTAGACCTCTGGTCTCATTCAGAGTAACTGACCAGAGGGAATTGATGTTAGTGGATCCTGAGCACTAGAAAAGCAAGGTCCTCTTATACATAGTGACAGCTGTGATTTTCTACGAAAATGAAGTATAAGGTTGTTCTCACTTACTAGTACTCGTCAAAGGTTCAGACTTATTAAAGAAATAGGTGCCAGAATTATTATAATGAATAAAATATCCTTAATAAATGGAACTTCGAGTAGGACAATTCAAGAAGCAGTTCGACTGACGTACAAAAGCACTGAGATCGCGCACTACTAAAACCCAACTTTGGTCGAACGTACACATTAGTGCTACAACTGAAGCAAAACAACAGGACCTGGTGGTTTAAATACAACAGTGTTTTTCGGGTTAGTAAAGATTTACTGACTACGATAGCTAGAGTAGTAGTTGGCATGTGGAGTCGAGATTTCACGAGAATGATGTAGATCATTAGTTAGGGTTTTATTAAAAGGTGGACAGTTCTTTCTCTGTTAGTTACCAGAAGAACCTACCATCACTAATTATTTCAAGATAGGTGAATTTAAAAAGCAGCTTGAGAGAACCATTTAGTCGTCGTGTATGGAGTAGATCTTCAGCCTTCGAGGGGCTTTGAAAACACGTGTTTTTCTGCGTCTGTTACGCGTGAATCAAGAGGTATTTTAGTAATGTCTATTTGTAAAGGGAGTAATAAATGCACACTATGCTAATCAAGTAACTATTAATGTAAACTCAGGCATATACGAACTTTATGTTGCCGTAATCCAACATTATCTATCACGGTTGCGAACGCCGTTGTCCTTAAATTTTTTTTAAATGTGCACATGGAAGTCTGTTTATCGTTGGTTTCTTAAGAGCTGGGTCGTCGGAAGAGGAGAGCTTCCGAGATGCAGATTTTACTAGATAATCTAATTTCCTTTTTAGGCAAAGACTTCAATTTTCAGAGTCTCCTGATTGCACTGAGCAGAAACTTACTTCGATTAGCAACTATAGGCTGTAGAGCATTGCACATACCTGCTGTAAGGACGGATATAGTAATATAATCAAATCAAACAAGTATATACTGTCATGAGTTCATTTTAAAAGCGTTTCAACTTTTTTTTAATTTAATTGCTTGTATATAGCTGATATCTATATTTTTAAGTCTACGCAGAATTTGTATGTTAAATTTTCCAGATCTCATAACAACGCTAGGATTGTTTGGCGAACATCTGAAGAATGGGCTGATCTGATTTCTAAATGGGCTCGATCAACTGGCCATGGAAATTCAGTTTGCACATTTTATGAGCTAACTGACAGTGATAATACAAGACAAGAGGCTTTTCATGGACTTGATATAACGGTTTTGATAGATGCGTTGACTGTACTGCAGAAACGTGGCAAAGCTGAATTAATGGGAGATGCAGGTGTTAAGTTTTTCTGCTAGTTCTTTGTGTTGATGATTACTGGTTGTCGAATGATGCTTCACGGAGAACTAACCGCTTCCTAATGAAAATGAATCCTTTGTAATATACAAATCTTTCATCTGCGAACTCTATGGGTTTAAATTTGTTTTGTTTCGATTTGTTTTTATTTCCATACAATTTGAAAAGATATTTTTTGATGGTTAGATTTTATATATGTTGACAAAGTTCAGTACTACTAAACTATTTTGGTTACTATACTACATAATGTTTTATTAGTGCTAGAGAGAGCTTAATTGTAAGCAAAATATGTACAGAGGAACTAATAATGTAAGAAAAGTTTTTATTTTCACTTCTTGTCGCTGGGATTCATTTTCTCAATGGAACTGTTACTTGTGTATATAAATAAATGGAACCGTTTATTTTATAAAATTGGTAATTAATATCCATCATGAAATAAATTGTTATCTATTTATGTGTAGGAACTGGAAAAGGTAACTACAAGGTTTATTAACATAATCTTAGAGAGAATTAAGGTTCTGTAACTCAGGTACGTTGGTGGCACATCGGTAAGGACTCTCGTCGACCATGCACACGGTCCGGGGTTCGATCCCCGGCCGACGCACTTCTTTACCCCGCTAAGCCAGAAATAATGCCGGTAAAAAGAAAAGGTTGGTCTGGGCATGAGGCTAGCAACCCCATCCTGTAAAAATAATAAGACACTGCTACAGAAACTTCAAGCCACTAGGTTGAAGCCCTATGTTCCACTGGGGACGTGAAGGAAAAATTATTATTATTTAACTCAGTATTTAAGTTGAATATGTGAATATTCAGTTTACACCTAGCTTATTCCATAAGGTTTTATTCAGTGAATACTACTTCACCTCATTATTATCCTCTCTGTTCAGTTCACAATTCACTTATTGGGTTTTATCATTTCAATGATTGACTGATTGAGTTTCAACATAGAACTTAGCGCAGAAGTGCAACAGTTCAAGTTATTATTATTATTCGCTTGGGTTCCGAGTGGCTTCAACAACACATCTCCACTTTGTTTTATTCTCTTCTCCTCTCCACCTACCTCTCATCACTTCCTCGCAGTATCTCCTCCATGTCACCCTAGGACGACCCACTCGTCTCTTCGCGTCGGGATTCAACTCGAGTGACGCACGATTTCATTCGACAGCTACCTCAAAGTGGGCCCGTTCCATCTCCACTTCCTCCTATATATTTGTTGATCAATCGGCTCCTGGTTGGTTTTTTGCCAGAGTTTCTTGTTACCAATTGTTTCTAAATGTCCATTTGATCTTCAGTATAGAGCCAGCGAAGGCAACTACTGATAAAAATCTGCAACCTGTTAGAAATCCTTTTCATGACACACTGGCAAAGTTTCTGACCCATATAGGAAGACCGACTTGACATTAGTGTTGAAAATCTGAATCTAGTTCTTTATGCTATGGAGTGTAGTGCAAAAGATTCCCAAACTGGTTCCAAGTTGATGAAGGTGTGTCTTGCCTTTCCGATTCTGGCCAGCTTTGACATCTTTATCCGTTCCGGTTGCCTGTGGTTGAAATGATGCTTCCTAAATAAGTAAAGGAAGGAACTGCCGTCAAATTTCTCCCGTTGATAATGATTAGTGCTGTTTGTTGCCACTGTTGGTTGGTTGTCTTCATCATCTCCATCTTGTCTATGTTCACCTGCAGTCCTGTTTTCGCTACGTGCCCGTTCAGCCAGTTTGTTGGTTTTCGCCTGTTAGTCTTCGAGTTTGTGTGACATTAGACAAAATCATCCACCGCGAAATCCACATCTTCTGGAGTCTTCTTATTGGCTCGGCATATTCCTGTCTTCTCACTTCCACGCACAGTCTTCCACATAATCCAGTCCGTCACACTTAGGGATATCATCGGTGATAGTAGTCATCCTTGTCTTACTCCTGTATTCAGTTTAAACGCTACGCTGATTTTTCTGTGGTCGATCACTTGACATGTGATATCGTCATATGGCTGTTGATTGAGGTTGATAAAGGTTTGGAGCGCTGTATACCGTAGTGTTGAAGCAGTTTCGAAATTACGCTATCGAAGGTCTTTTCAAAATCAATGAAATTGACATAGAGGTTTGACTGGCACTCTATGTTTTGTTTGATGAGGATGCGTAGAGTTGCTTTTCCTGAATCTAGCTTGTTCCAGGGAGTAGAGTTCTGCATCCAGTGCATCTTTTATTCTCTCCAGGATGACATGGCTTGGTATTTCGTTTGGTGTAGACATCAGCATGATTCCGCATAATTTCTTGCAGAGGCCTAAGTAGCCGTTTTTTAGTAGCTATATAAGATAGCCTTTCTTCCAATCAGTATTCACTTTTCTTTCCTTCCAAGCTTTTTGTAATAATGGCGTGAAAACATCTGCTGCAGTCTGTGGGTCTGTACTCAGTGCTTCGAGGAGAATTCCGTCTGATCCTGCCGCGTTCCTGACAGGCCCCAGTAACCTCATTGCAAAACTGGCAGTGGGTTGCCCAACTATGGTGGTATTTCTGGACGAGTTGCAGCTGATGGTCGATTCAAGAGTCCTTTGAAGTTATCAGCCCAGTATTCTCCTCCTTGGTAATTAGATTCCCTTAACCATCTCTTATAAGTTTCATGTATGTTGACCTCATCCAGGATACGGATTGACCTGGTCGTTCGATGTTGTCTGTTTTGCTTCAGTTGGTAGTGTGTCATAGAATCGTCTTTTATCTTTCAACTCACTTTTCTTTACTTTATTCAGTACAGTGTACACTGAACTCAATTACTCCTGTTGTCCATCTGTCCATTGAGTTGTCTTCTGTTTCAGCATCCTCCTCCTCTCTTCTATTAGCCTCTGGGTATCCGTTGAGAGCCATCCCTTGTCTTGCCTCTTCTTTCTTACTAAAATGGTGGTGCATGCTTCCTTGAATATCGCCTTCAAAGAGTTTTAATATTATTCCACACACGTTTTCTTAATGATGCCACGTAATGTCTCAGGCTTTGCTGCGACGGCTGCAGTGAAGGTGTCTTTCATAGTCTTGTCTTTCAGTTTCTGAGTGTTAAACCTCAGTTGCAGTCTTTTGCCGATTGCTATGAAGACTTTCAACTTGACCTTGATGGTTCCTTAAACTAGATAATAGTCTGAGCTCACATCTGCTCCCCTCCTCAACTTTGTGTCCTGTGGGCTGCATCACCAGTTCCTTGAGATTGAGATGAGCTCTGTATGGTTTTTGGTGTATCTATCAGGTGAAATCCATGTTTGTACACGCTACTTCCAATCACCAAATTGTTGAAAGCACAGAAGTCTTCCAAGAGTTCTCCGTTCTCATTAATTTCCTAAGGCGAAAGCCTCTCGACCCATGATGAGTCATCTTCCTGAATTATCTGCTCCCAGTTCAGCTGGCATTCATATCGTACATGAGAATTTTGATGTAACCATTCGGGATGTTGTGAATTACTGTTTACAGTTGTCTATAGAAATCTTCCTTGTCTTGTTCCGAGCTGTTTATAGGTGCATAGCATTAGGTGATTGTGACCTTCTATCATTTTGAGTTAAATCTTGCTGTCATAATCCTGGAGTAGATTGGTTCCCACTGTACTGGAGCTCTCCCGACCGAAAGCTGCTACCTTGATGTAGTGGTCGGGCTTGAACACCACAATGTCCCAACAAACTATACTGGCTGAGGCTTATGTCTCTTGAGGTCCTACCATGCCAGAAAGGTTGTTTAGATAGTGGTTAGACAAAAAGCAGCTACCCAATCCAATCGCAAGACGAACTTGGCACACACTAACGCATGATCGGAGTCCAGGCATGTGCTCCAGAAGGAGCGACGTCTTGTATGCATCCTCGCCACCGGAAACTGACGGCAATATGATCAATCTGAGTCCAAGCTTGCTTCGCAGAGGGAGGATGCCAGGTAGCGCTACGGCGACGACTGTGCCGGAAGTTGGTGCTGGCTAGAAATAGGTTGTGATCCGCGTAAAGCTGCAGAAGATGGTCCCCATTATCTGACTTGCGACCATGTAGTCCCCATTGACCACTTAGACGATTCTCCTCCGAGCTTAGACGCCCGACCTGTGCATCCAAATCCCCAGCCAGCACTACGATATCCCTCCGACCCGCCTGTCTCAAGAGATCGCTGAGTTGGTAGTAGAACTCATCCTTCAATGCATCCGGGCTGCAATCCGTCGGTGTATAGGCAGAGACAACAAATAGACACCGCCTATCTGGCCTACTACTCCTTGCTTTCGTTTAACCTTCCAGCCTCGCAGCACATAAACGACTGTTAATGGGAATCCAGCCGAGCAATGCAGCTTCGGCTCTAGCACTCAGTGCGACACTGACACCAGCTACGCCGGATGCCGACGTCACAGGGTCCCCGGATAAGCGCAGGTGGTGCATACTGCTAGAACTTCCAGATGGAGAGGATAGTCGAAGCACTTCACTGGGATCTTGAATGCGGGCCTCCGAAATGCAGCAGACATCGATAGCGAGGTTTTCCAAAGTTCTTACCAACCCTGCCTGTTGTCCGATTTGCATCAGCGTCCGAACACTGTAGGTGGCCAGCTTGAACGCGGCACGCGGTTTCAGGATATCTGGGTTAGATGTCACATTGGGGCAACCATTTTGGGGATTACTCACTAACATTTCGAAACGACACAGATAGGCTGGGAATCTCAACAAAGGCGAAAGGCTGTCGAAGGTTAAGAAGTCAAAGTTAGCAAAGGTAAAATACAGAAAACTATGTATAAAAATAAAAGTAAGGTAGGAAGGACATAAGTTACTTGAGGCATCAGTGTTACTTGAAATCATTGTTAATAGCGCGCGATGAGTTTCAATGAGAGTTTGTTGCTTTATTTCATTCATTGTGTGAGGGCTGAGATACTGCCCAGGCGCCCAGACCGAAGCAGGTGGTTTTATTAAGGGATCACCCCGAGCCTTTGACCTGGAGTCTAATCCGAAAGGCAGCAGAGCAGCATCAGGAGCTGCATTCCCATGGTTGACGGTGACCCATATGGGTTCAT